TGACATTTCCCCTTTTGCAAATTACGTGCGTCATATCAATTTCGTTTTTATCTTCTTTGTTTTTAAAGGCTAAATGCATCCAAGCATCTGACTTGAAATGTGATGGAGGCGGGGGGGCGAATTTTCTCAGTGTCCATGTTTTGTTTACAAATGACTCGTCACAGTATCCCACGGCCGGAAATGCTTGTGACACAAAGCAGCGGGCGTCAACACATCCGCAGCGACATCTGCTGGACTGGAAGTTGTATTCCACTTGATTTGGCTGATGTGCGCCAACCATTCATGCATTTTATTTGTTCATTTTTTTTAATTAAGAATCGATACTTGGCGTCAAGAATCGACGACCGTTTACACATCACGCTATCTCGGTTCCTCGCCTCCTCGTGACGATCTGCGGTATTACTGCCAGTATTAAAGGAGGAAATCAAGCAGTTGGTGGCGGTAATGCACCGAAAGTTGTTTGCCAACGGCCATAAAACACAAGAAGAAGAAAACGAAGAAGGAGGAATCAAGCAAATCAAAATGGCGGCGCCCATCACATTCAGAATGTTATGCTTGATTATTATTGCTGTACTTCGGTGTCACTATTTAAAATGCCTTTATTTAAAATGTTGTGTGGAGAAGATTTCGGTTGTTGTTTATAGTTGAAGAAGAAGTTGTTCTTCTGTTTTTGGAGGGGCATTACCGCCAACTACTGGAATGGAGTGTGAATTGGGATGTGCAGCCAGACGGAGATGATGCGTTCTGCTCATACGCTCTTGTTATCAGAGAACCGAGCCAAGGAAAAACCGAGCCGAGCCCACCTCTAGAACTGGTCTGCAGTTAGCTCGGTTCGGTTGTGTCTAGCTCGGTTCAGTTCAGTTTGCTTTCCATTTACACACGATAAGTTATACCAGTTACTGAGCTCGGACCGGTCTCGGCACGGTTTTTCAGGGGTAGTGTAAATGAGGTATATGTAAAGAGCTGCCAGACATGCCAGCAAATTCACCATAAGGTCCATCTGTATTATGCAGAGGGAAATGGCAAAAAGACCCAAACCACCCAAAACATGTGGCGAAATCAATATGGAGTCATATTTTGGCCATAAAGTTTGTTTAAAAAATATTCTATTTACCATTTTTTTTTTTTCCATTCAACTCGCAGAATTTATTTTTCTTTTTTTCAGGATTTATACTTATGGCCCTGGAGTCATGATTCAACACAGCAGCTGAACAACCTAAACCTACAGTAGCTGTTGCGTTTAAATGCCGCGAGAAGTTGAAATGTTTTTAAAACATCAGTATTCTATGCGTATGTGATTGGTTGTAAAAATAACATTTCCCTGATTTTCACTGACTTTTACCTATTTACTATTTTTGTTTCAGGTTTCTTTTCTTTTGATAAAACTTTACGGCCCAAATTTAGCTCCATAAATTCAGACCTCATTGTGGTGATGATCAAATGAGAGGCAGTCCGTCTGTTTCCAAACCTGCTCATTTAAAAATCCCCATTCCTCCAGGGTTTCTGAAACTTTTTACATGTTGCATTTGAAAATCAGCATGAATGACTGGCAATTAAATCAGATCTCTCCCGCTCTGATTAAACCACCATTTTAACAGTTAACTAACAGTCTAAATGCTGAGCAGCCTTCCTTCTGCTGGTTTGTCTTTAGTGGAAATGATGCAGATTCACTAAGCCGGGAGAAAGCAGACAGTTTTTGTCCTAGCATGCATTCACTCGCCCATAGTAGCATAAATACACGTTAGATCTCAGGTGCCTGGATAATAACAAGCTGACTCCTTCTGTAAAAACATTGGGGTCTGATGCAGGTCCTGTATGAAGTATAACTGCACTGAAGCAGATGGAGAGAAGTTTAAACCATCATCTTTCGCAATAATCTCTGTCAGTGTTTTAATGAACTCCTAATACGGCTGAAACCGTATCACGTTAATCACCATCGCAGTTTATTTCCACCTACACATGAAACTCCTTTCCGCTTCCAACCTCGAGGTAAACAAGCTGCCACAGCAGCACTTACATCTCATATGGAAACAGTAGGAACATTCATTGAACTGATCCAGCTTCTAACACATCCTGAGTTTTTTAAACGGAACATGAGTGTTTTTCATCTTTTAAAAGAACATAACGCAAACGCTGCGGTTGCTTTCTCAGGGAGGCCGTGAACAGCAGCTGGTCGGCTAACCAGGGAGATTCGGCCAGCTCCAGCGATGAGACGTCCTCGGCCAACGGCGACAGCCTGTTCTCCATGTTTTCTGGGCCGGACCTTGTAGCAGCGGTGAAACAGAGGAGGTAAGTTGGGCGCTAATCCACGCAAGTTATGATGATTATCTCATTAAGTATGAATATTATGGGGAAAAAAAGTCCATTTGTACAGCTTTCAGTTTCCCTCTAAACACGTGACATGTATTTTTTTTTTTTGATGCAGCAATGTCCCTTTTGTAATTAAAGTAACACATTTAAAACTCAGTATTTGCTCAAAAAAGATCTTGAAAAGATCTTTTAGCATCAGCGCAGCATAGCGGCTGGTAGGCTAGAGTCGACGCCTCTGAAATTTAGATACTTGGGTTTGATGGCCATTTTTTTTTTTTTTGTGACTGATTGAGGATTCTGTTGTCTTGGTTTTAGGAAACACAGCTGCGGCGAGCCAGAGGTGTGCACCCTGCCGTCACCGCCTCTACATCACATCAGCGACGATAACCAGGTAGCAGCCCGGACTAGATGTGCTTTTCATTTCCATGTTCTGAGCGAATGCAATGGTCATTTTCTCTCAACCCTTTGCCCGACAGGACAGCAAAACCAAAACCTGGCCCCCGAAGGCGCCGTGGCAGCACACCACCCACACCATGCCCAATCCCAGCTCTTCCTTGTACCAGATGAACCTGCCTCCTTCCTCCCAGTGGAGCGACTCCATGCAGATGCTGCAGTCCCCCGTGTGGTCCACCGCCGGCGACTGCTCGGCCTCCACCGGGATCTCCTCCGGTTTCCCCTTCGCCCAACAGCAGCAGCAGCAGCAGCAGCAACACAAACCCATGACCAAGGGCTTCAAATCCTTCCCCATCAAACCCGAGCACAGGCCCTCCTACCTTCACCAGTACTGATCCAAACCAGTCCAAAGTAACGTGCCACTGAGGATCTGCAGCTCCCATCATTACACTCCGCCACCCACTAAAAATGGAAGATTTAAGTACACACACTGGCTCAGCATTTTCTCTTTTTTGTATTTATATTTTTCCATGTTAAACATCACATTAAAAGAAAAAGAAAAAAAAGCCGTTCTTTGACGATTTCTGAACTGCCATCTTCTAACTGCGAGCGACGCATGCGTCCTACCAGAAGCCGTCAAGTCTAGTGGTGGTTTCTCTGACCAGAGCTGGAGACATGCACGACCATCACCAACTTGCTTCTGCAGCTGTGTATGGGATGAGGGGGCGCGTAATGCCCATAATGAGTATACTGTGTCTACATAGCTGTAACTGCCAAATCTCATTCAAGATGACCGAGTACAGCTAGCATCTACTGTTTCATAGCTTGTAAGAAAAAAAAAATACTGAAGTTGAAATATATTTAGTTCTTTTTATGGAGAGGCTTTGAGCAGGCTCAGCGTAAAATAAGAGTAAGCCACTGCAGAGGTTTCATTTGAGAGAAATACACTACTTTTACATCAACTGACCAGTCCTAGCTATATCTATGTGCCATGTTGGTATTGAAAGCACTTGCAGATTAAATTTTTCCAACCAAAGCGTTCAGAGGACGACTGGTGCTGAGGAGACGGCGGTCACTAACCAACAAGTTGATTTCTTTCCTCTATAATTGGCTTTTCTTTTCCTTTTGCTTATAAATTTAAATAACTAATTGACACTAAGTCCCATAAACTTTGTTTTGTTGTTTTTTTTTTGAAGATATTTTTGTGTACAAGTATTGACAGTATTAATCTTATTTTTGTATTACATGTTATACCACAGCTGTATGTTAGTTTTTTTTTTTTCCATTTCCCTGTTTGTGAAAAAGCACATTTCTTTTTTTTTTTTCTCCAGTCAAATGAAACCATTGATCTCCAAAGGTTACCAAATATCCCAGGCTAAAACACTAAAACGTGCAGAGGAGGGCGGGCCTTGTTCCTTTGGGATTTTGGCAGCGGGCTTCGTTTAAAAGCCCAGAATGTTTTGGGTTTTTTTGTTGTGATGTTTGCGGATGCCAATGTTGCCTGTATTTATGAAACGACACCGTGTTTTCAGATAACTAACATACTTAACATGTTTACAGAGAATCGTTTGTTGTACATACATATAAATATATATCTTTTTATAGTTAATGTGCTTTGCACAATCAAGATATAGGGTTTGTTGCTTTTTGTCTGTGTTATCTCCCTAACTGTTGCAGCCTTTGTTTTTGTTGTTTTGTTTTTTAAAGACATCATTTACAGACCTTGGACTGTAACTGTTAGCTTCTCGGCTGTGTACAAATGGTTTACTAGTGGCTTCTACTAAAAAAAAGGTGGAGAAAAATAATAAAAAATATGCTACCCTGGAAGATAAGATGAAGGGAGATTGCTTGGCTTATGTTGCTTATTGTTTTGATGGCAACTGACCCTTTGTTTTTTTTCTTCCCAAGTGTACCAGCAAAGCAAAAAAAAAAATTGAATAAAAGTAACTAGCAATTGGAAACGCAAAGAGTTGTTTAATCATCCTACATTCAGATTTACACAAATACTTTTTATTGTACATCTCATCTGTAAATTACAGAAAAAGCAGGAACGGATGAATTATATACTAGAATATTCATAATAAAAATCGTCTAATGTGAAAACTATCATGGAGGGTCTGGGCGTCCGGTCGGAGCAGCTGTTGAGGCGTCGCTGGATGAACACTGGGAACACAGAAAAGAGATGGGGGGGTAATAAGATCTTACTGTCTGACTCTTAATAAGCGCTGTTTCTCCTTACGTTTGTGATGGGCGGTGTGTCATCAGGGCTGGCGTCCGCTATGGTTGCCAGATAGACGATGTTCCGGTGGAGAATCTGCTGGTACCTGTTTCACATAAACAAAACTCAAGTCATGGCAGATTTGGGCTGTTTGGATTTATTTTACCATTAATACCCTCCAACTGCTGTGGTCTATTTTACAGCTGAATTAGCTTATGTTTTTGAAAATCTCAAGACCAAATTTCAGTTTACTTCACATTAAATCGGGTTCATTAAGTTAGTGTGATAACCGATATAAACAGGTTCTGATTTGGAAAACAGATTTTTTTGATTAAGTCTAAAGTAGGGCTGCAACGATTATTTTGTAAATTGATTAATCTGTCGAATTAATCGATTAATAATCGGATAGCCAAAGACGGATAGTTTTCCATCTGACTGAGACGGAAAACCAGCTTCCTAAATTGGAAAAATTATAACTGGACAGAAATAGTGTTCTACACACTGATGACTCTAAAAGTTATGGCCTTTTAGACTTTATTCCACCCTGTAAAATGCTCATTTTAAGGTGTTTTGTTTCCATAAGTAGAATTAAAGGTTTGTAAATGAAACCCTGTAAATTATAAAATTATAAACTATTTGCTCTGGAGCTTAATGGTGGCGAAAATGATAATGTCGTATAATAACAAACACCCATCTTTAAACTTTAGTTACTTTTATAAAGGATATTACAATTTTTTGTAATCTTTATCTTTCATTTCTCTTTTCATCCGATTTATTAAATCTTGCATATAAATAGATTTTTTTATGATATAAATGTTTTTATATTTATTTTTCTTGGAATTTGTTTTCCATCAAATAATACCCTATATTTTCCCTCTTTTAAGATCTAAAAAACACAAATCTAGGTTGTTTGAAATAGTAACAGCTTTCTTATGGTAGCTAATCAAAGATAAAAGATTATGCTTTATTAAAGTCATGGCTCTTTGTGTTTGAAAGGCTGCACTGACCAACTCTGGTCAGGTTTTAGCCAGTCCAACTTGAAAGAGTAAAATGCTCAAATGTGAATTTTATTGTTTTAATACCAATTACAGATTCTATTGAACACAGATAATATAATAAATTTTATTTGTAATGCACTTTACACTTAAGAAAAATCTCAAAGTGCAACAAGTAAAACAAAAAAATTAACTAAACATCACTGTAAAACACATATGAATAAATCAGTCAATGGCATAACTGTAAAATGTTAGGTCGTAAGTTTTGTTAAAAACAATATTTTTAGTCCTTTTTTAAAGCCTGGATAGTCTGTGGTTCCCTCAGATGATCAGGGACAGCATTCCAGAATATTAGTTAAAAATGCTGATATTATTAGAATTTATACTACATACATACATATATATATATATATATATATATATATATATATATATATATATATATATATATATACACAAACACACACATACATATATCTATATCTGTGTTTGTGTGTATGGGGTTCTCCTGCAATACCACCAGTGGTCAATAGATGTAGCTGTTTGACCACTAACTTGGATTGAGAAGGACTACTTGTAGTGACCACAACTAACCACTGAATGAAGCTCAATGGAGGGGGGCAGCAGAGAGACAATTTTCACCATAGAAACTTTGCATTCAGGAGAAAACAGCTTTTTTTTTTTTTTTAAGGAGGACCCCATAAAAAGGGTTCAACATCTCACAAAAACCAGCTTTTTTTTCTTCAAAATTAGAATATAAGGCTTACAATTTTTTTTTTTCAGTAGATATTGGTGCGAGCCATTTTAGGAATGAAATGGAGATGAGATCGTCTAGAATTAATAAATAAAGATGCCAGGCTCGATTTATTTGAACAGATGAAGAACCGCAGGTCCAAATGAACAGGCTGCCGCTAAATGATGAGGTTTTTATCTTACTGCACACACTCCACGGCGCGTCCTTTCTGCATGTACTCAGTGATGCATCTTATCAGCTGATCGTTTTCATCCAGTAGCTTCAGAAAAACGAACAAAACAGAAAATACAACATTGAGATATTAATATAACATCGCATCGTTGCCCCAAAGGCAGACATGTTTTAGCTCACCAAGTAAAACTAAGCTAAATATTTTTATGTTATTTATTTTTTTTTTTTTCGATTTGCAGCAGCTTCTACTTTTTTGTCCATTTTCCCGAACACCTTCTTACCCTCTGTATCGTCTCTTGGTTGATTTTTGCCTTGCCTCGGAGCTTCTTTGGGACAAAAACAATGGACATGTCTGATTAGCTCGTTAATTCCTGTTTACATCGGGTAGCCGCGCGTTTACTTCCGTCCTTCTTGCTCTTTGTCTCCTGAATCCGGTAAAGGTTGTGTTGCCTCAGAGCATTAGCGCCCTCTACTGGAAACTGCAAACAAAGCTTCTCGTTGATATTAACCTAACTGGAAAAATTTGAAATCTAAATAACAATTTAACTTTATTGATCTCACATTGGAGAAATTTGCCTAAGATGTAGAAAAGTGATGCTGGGTGACTTTGGCTTGTAATTAATTAATTTATTTATTAATGTGACACTGGCAAAATTAACCTCTGCATTTGACCCATCCCCTTGGGCGGCAGTGGGCTGCCATTGTGAGGTGCCTGGTGAGCAGTGCTGGCATCACTCCCCCAAAAAGTGATTTTTTTCTTGAAATAATTGAGGTGAGACACTTCACCAATATAAGAAGACAATTTACATTTAAAAATCTGAAGAAAAAAAAAAAACAAGTGCAATCATCTTATTTCAATTGCATGTTATCTAATTATTTGAGTAAAATTACTCATTCCATTGGGAGTTTATCTTATTTACCTAATAAAATTAAAGGTGAATAAACTTAATTTGAGAAAAGTTGAATTATTTCTAGATTGTTTTTGGAGTGTTACTAGGAATGAGCTTCACAAAGTGGATGTTAACATAAATGTTACCTTCCCCCTCGTAGAACATCTTAAACACTGCAACAAATACAAAAGGAATTGTGAGAAATGTATGGCTTTTTTTTTTTATCCTCTGGTTTATTTTATCCTCTGGTTAAAATAAAAAATAGATGATCTAAAATTATATTTAATAAATGCACCATCTTGTATGAACTGAATCACAATAAACATACAAGACAAAAAAGTTTGGAGGTTGAAAACCTTGGCTTTACAAATAAAAAAAGATTTTTAAGATTGGCTTTTATACATCAGGAAGAGAAAAAAAAGAACTAATTAAACTAATTAACTAAAGAACTATTAAGTTTTGCTAATTAGATTGCTAATTAGAGCTGATGGGACTAGATAAGCTAATTATATTTGGTATATTTGTGTAGAAATATGTGAAATCCTACAATTAACACCATCTAGATATTTCACTAAATGAGCAATGTGCTTACTAAGAAAAAGCCAGGTTTCAATCTGGACAGGTCACCAAGGCAACACGACAGCAATAGACTCACATTGTTGGGTCATTTGGAGTCACAAGTTAAATGTAATAAAAACCAAGTTTGAGATGAGATGCTAGAAAAGCACCAGTTTACCCAAACAAACATTCTTATTTGCAAGAAAATAACGATATTAAAAATCTGATATACATATAAAAAAGAATAAAAACAGGAAGACATGTAAATTGTACAACTCTTTATTTTTTGTAAAAACTTAATTTGAACGATATCCCAAGAAAACAATTCCAGTGACTGGAAAGAGTAGCAAACATGAAAAATGTCAGTTCTGGCTAGAATAACAATTTTGAGTCGAATCATATCAGATACTGTTTAAGCAAATAGAAATTCCTCAGGCCATCATGCATTTCTCAGCTGTTTGTGCGATAACCTTTTCAAGACATTTACTGTTTAGACCACATACAAAGAAAAGGATCTATGTTCCTCTTGTAGTGCTAGCAGTACTTCTGTCAAGATGTAACATTTAAGTTAAAGGGAGAGAAATGCAGGGGAAACAAACCAGACCGCTACACTCAAGGCACTCCCTAAAATGTCTGAGGATTGGATTTAAAAATGAACGAGAACTTGACAATACTGGCTCCGCATCCAGCTTTTGTCCCTTTGTTAACAAGTCAGTAAAAAAATAAATTCACTCCTGAGAACAATGCAACAAATGGAGCTACAATCGATCAAAATCCAGTTAGAAATGCATCTGAATTAGTTGCAGACGCTGAGTAAACAACTCATGTAACACTACAAGTGCTTCATTTAGCAGGGAGACTTGCTGCCTGTTGACATTGTGGGAGAAACATCCATAAGACAAAAGTACAACACAAAGGGACGCCTTTACTAAAAAAAAAAAAATCCCAACAATCATTCTTAGAAGTACTGAAATTACAAGCGCATACATTTCAATGACAATTTCTGTTTTAAAGACTTCTTTTTTGGCAGAGCAGCAAATTTAGGTAAATAGAAGTTGTTGCCAAGACCTTGTATAATTTTATTAATTTACACAAATTAGGAAAAAAATATATCTTGTATCCTTTATGTAAACAAACCCGATTCTAAATAAAAGCTGCACTCATAAAATCCCAGTACAGCTCAAGATTTGTGATAAACCAAAGAGTTTGGTTTCTTGAATTCGCTACCAGCGGACATCCAGCCATGAAACCAGGAGGAAAACGAGGAGGTCTGAGGGCTCAGGTCTGATCTAACGTAGAATACAAAGCTGGAAAAGTCTTCTGGTTCAAGCTAGTCTTACATTCAATTTTTATTTTACAAATTAAAATTTTTGATCCGTTTGGCCTCACTACATCACAGAAAATGAATGTTACAGGAAAAAAAAACTACTAGAAAGTTAAAACACTGAATAAATGGCAACCCAACTGTGCAGGAAAAAAAAAAAAAAAAACACACGGTGCAACAGGAGGATGACAAATTTGGTGCCGGAAAAAAAAAAATATATCAAAAAGTGAAAAAAAAGTAAAGCTATGGATCACATGGGCTGTGATCGGCTCACAGTTTGAGAGCGCGTTCTGCTCCTTATATCAAAGACGACTTTAAGAAAGGAATTCAGACTGATCAAAAAAAGTACGCAATTACTCCAAAGCTTTGCATTTACAAGGGATCTTTGAATTTTTCAGACAAAACTTGTGGAGAAAGAATCTACAGTCTCAAAGCAGAGAGAGGGAGTTGGACTGTCACCCCATCATGTCCAACAGTCCACCGAGCTGCTGGTGTCCAAATATCGTCTTCATTCTCTTCGTCAAAATGTAGAGACCGCAGGAAATTTCTACAATGGATATTATTTTATCAGAAGTGGCTACAATTCCCTGTGGATCCATCACTGAAGCACTATGCAGCCACTTTGTTATCCTTCTGGAAAAGAGAAACAAAAAAAGGACGATTTAGCAATCAGCTCGAGTTTAACAGAATTATAATTACTAACATTCTAATTTCATTTATCTATATCTGGCAACAATGGGAGACATGTCTTGCTTTTCTGACCTAATCTGATCTAACAGCAGACTAATTAGTGGATTTTGACTTTCCAATTTTTCAGCCAAACTCCAGCAGGTTGAAACTTACAACTTTTTTTTCAGCTTTTATTGTCATTGCACTGTCACGAGTACAGAGGAAAGAAATGAACTTTTGGGAGCGCGTTCTGCTCCTTATATCAAAGACAACTTTAAGAAAGGAAGTCAGACTGATCTGCATTTAACCCATCCCTTTGGGGAGCAGTGGGCTGCCATTGTGCAGTGCCTGGAGAGCAGTGTGGGGTTATGGGTCTTTACTCAGGAACCAAGAGTGGCAATCTGTGGGAGTGGGGCTCGAACTCAGAACCTCTGGATTCCAAGTGCCACCACCCTAACCACTGCTGCCACTCCCCACCAGGATTTATTTCCACATTTCAATCCAGTCAATGTCATTTCTACATCCGTTTAAAAAAGTAAAGGAAAAATGGCTGCGAATGCCAAAAACAAACATCCGGTACAAACTTAAGTCTGTTATGTTGTCAAGTTTATAAAACTCCAACATTTTAGAAGTGTGTCCTTTAAAGACACTTTTTAAACACAATCACGAAGCATGTTTACTAAACCTGAAATACAGGAAACTGAGTTTTCCGTTTTACAAAGAGTTTTCTCAACCTGTTTCAGTCGCCATAGTAACATTCTCCACAGGTTTTGTTAACCAAACTCGGGAGTTTCCTCGGTCTCTGCTCTCCTTATAGCCAATCACGTTGTTTCATTTCCTGATTTAGTCAGATTTTGGTCATAGTATTGTGCATAAAAAAAAAATCCTTCACTAGGTCCGTTTTCTTTGAGAGATTTGCGATAAATACATTTAAAGCTGTTAAAAAACCTTTTCAACCTGCTGGAGCTGTGTTTGAATAAACAATGTTGCTATAAAAATGCAGTGATATGGAGATAGCTGTTAGGTTTACCCTGTAATCAAGGTCAGGGAAATCCCGGCCTCCTCTGCCAACTCTGTATGTGCCCCTGAACCCAGGCGGGGCTCCCCGGGGCGCGAAATAACCTCTGCTCGATGACCGCCCCCGCCCCGTACGGGGTCCACCGTAGCCCCGTCCACGGTAACCTCCTCTTCCACGGTGGTGTCTGAGAGGGATGCCGAACGTCTCTGCGTTCATCCGTCTCTCCTCTGCCCAGGTCGGCCTGCGCTCCCTGACAAAAACAAAATCAGAACATGGTCAACAACTAAAAAATAACAAAAACACAACCGGCAGGGCCTTTTCCACATTTTGCTTTGAATAAATGAAAGCTTGCACATCAAACTGAACATGATAAATGTAATTGAAGCTTAGACTTACCTTTGAAATCCACCATCACCCGTTTTACTTAAAGAGATAAAAACAAAAAGTCTGTCAGCAGAAGTAGACTTCACATTTTTATATGAAGATATTGCTGAGAGCAGTGATGATACTGTTAAATATTTGAGTTTTTAAATCAGGTGACAGCTGCTTGGTTCAATGGATTATCTAAAACCAGAACCAGCAGCCAACATGTCAGCTTGCAAGCTGCAGCTACAGCAGTAAAAGTCGAGAAAGATGAGAGGAGCCCGAGCGGCTGTCTGGCTCGTCGTACCTCGAATCCCCACAGGACAGGTTATCAAAGAAGGACTTAGTCTTGTCGTAGTAACACGCGTTTATCGCAGCCTCCTCTTCCTCAGCGGTGCCCTCAGTGGCTGGATGTTCTGAGTCGGCAGTCTCTTCTCCGTTCAGCGCCTTTTCAGGTTTGTCATCTGTTTGTGGAAAAAAGTTCAGAAAGAGCTCCTTGAATTTTATTCCCTTCAGTACGTTTTTTCTATTTTATCTGTTTATTTTTCAAGGCTGCACTTTAAAAAAAATCTAATGTCCAGAGAGCTGTTTTTTTTTGTTTTACACTTGTGTAAACAAAATGACAAATCTGTCTAAGTCTAGTCTCTCTCTTTGCCAAGCATAGGACATAAAGGCATACCAGAGGGTAACATGTCCTCCTCATCGATGGGTCAAATTGTTACCTTTCAGTTTCAGCTTGTTTTGAAACTCTTTGTCGATCTCATCCTTGTGGAACTGGGCGTTGGCAGTTTCAAAGTCAAAGTCCTCATCGAATTTCACGGTGCCGTCTTTGCGCATGTTAACTCTGCCCCTGCTGCGGTTTCCTCTTCCCCGGCCTCGGCGGTTAGACTGAACACCTGCTATTATCGGAAAAAAGCAGAACTGATCAATCTAAAGGTGAACGCTGTGTTTGGGCTTTAACTAAATGCTTTTATACTCAATTAAAACCTTAGGTTAGCCATAATTGAGAATCAAACTAATTTCTCTTATTGAAAAGAAAAACTTGATGCTTCTTACCAAGTTGACGCCTGTTGGGATCCCGGTTTTCAACAGCATGTTCATGATCCGGCTGGGGAGCTTTCTGAACGTCAGGAGCTGGATAATAAGACATTCGTATGATTATTTTTAATGCTCATTTTCACAGAACAACATATTCTCCTTCCTGAACGTTATAATCAGACATTTCTATGGGTTTAAACCTGCAGAACACCGTTTAAAGACGATCATAAAAGGCTTCAGGAATCTTTAAACCTTCCCTTAAGGATGTCAAAACAATCCAAATTAAAACATTGTGTTGGAGGTGTTGCTATAAATTACAGCAACAGCTGTACCACCACTCATATTGTTAAAATAAAATGTTTAAGGGTATACAAATCTTTTTTACATAAAAATTAGAAGAAATTTAAAAAAAAGCTTTCTTTATTTTGAAATGAAGCAAACAGAAATAACTTTGATAATTCTACCCAACCCTCAACAGAAAACGGTTAATCTGATTCTGACCTTTTATTAGACATAAATAAATAATTGTTTATGTGTTAAGCTTCACACATTAGTTATTAAAGGCTGACCTTTTTTCTGCTCAAGCAGATCAGGGGGTTTCTGGGTGACGGTGGAAGAGCTGCTGGGTTTGGCCGCCCCTCCTGTCTGACTCCTCTGTCCCACAGCCGCAGGTAGACCAGGGGCTGCAGACGGCGGCGCCTGCACCGGCTCCACGGGGGAGCTTTTCGCCAAAGAGTCTCGCTGTGGACTGGTACGTCCTTCAGATGGGAGGAAAAGTAAACCTCAGTTTAAAACAGCGCTCCTTTCATTCAGAAACTTGATGCTGTTCACCGTTTTCTGCACTGGTATGGCATAAATACGAGCGCTGCTTCTAAACAGGTGAATGGAAACAATCTGATTTGATTAAGTTTTTTTACATTTTACAACGCATTTCCACTTCTCCAGCTTTAGTGTAATCTGTCCTACAAATCGGTTTAAATAGTGATTTCATGATAAAGCCAGAAGCCTTCACTTTTAACCTGCAGTACTCTGTTTAACCACAGATTTAAACAGTGTGGATTGATACATGTCAGAATATTTCAAAATACGATTTCTCATTGTCCCCACAATTTGTGGTTAACTGTAAGTTTTTAACAAATCGTATGAAAAAAAAATATGCCTGCATCATTTTGGTGGTTACAATGGTGAATGTTTTATTAAACTAATGGCCTGGAGGCTGTTTTTATACTAAACTTCTGGCAATACAGACACCTGTTGACACTAATGGCTGTACTTGACTTACAGGAGCGGAAATGAACCCCTGATCTGAATGAGATTAGCTCAGCAGCCCAGATGAGGACAGCTTTGGTTTATTTAGTGATCATAAAGGATAAGACCAACTGTTATTTTCTTACATATCCAAGACTTGCATGAACCAATTTAAATTAGCTCAGCAATGTAAAGACAGAAACTTGGCCAAATATGAACTGTATTGAATCGACCTACCTCCAGCAGATCCAAACTGCTGCGATCCGATGGGTGTACCTCCGAACTGGCTGTAAGGTGGAACAGGGGCCCTGCTAAATGGGGCATAGGGACCAGCACCCTGGAATGATGGTGCAGCTCCTGCACTGGTCGATCCGATTGATGACTGAAAAAAAGACAACAGACACCCATACGTTAAAGGTGCAGTAGGAGATCCTTTCTGACGCATTTTTTACCATGTGACTTAAAAGATCTCCCCACAGCCGCTTAGAAAGCAGTGAAATAGAAGGTCTGTAAGTGTAACAAAAGTAAATGATCCCCGCTGCAGTGAGAAATCAATGAGTAATGTCCACCAATCACAAAACACGGTCCGTTGTACACGATTGGTTCCATGACACGTCAATCATGGTCGTCTGCTTGTAAGGCAGGCGGGGAAAAGCATGCCGTCACCGGGTCGGGTACGGTCCGGGGGGAATTTCAAAATCCCCGCCTACGGGGGGGAAGCACGGGGCCGCTGGTGCCCACGCTACCATCACCAGGTCAGGTTCGTTCGCTCCAGAGCTCAAGGCTCGGTTCTACTGCACTGTAGTCGAGCAAAATCCCGGACGATTTTTTTAGGTATCAAAAGCAGGACATGTCCAGGAAAAAGAGGACGTCTGGTCATCCTATTCACACCTAAAGCAGCAAAAACGCACATGCTTCTTCATTTTTGATGTTTGTACAAGTTTATTTCTGAAGTGCGGCTGAATCATCTTTGCTGCTCTGGCTGGTTGGGCGGAGCTACCATATCATTTCTTTGCCTGTAACAATGGTGGCTATATTTGCTGTGATCAGTGGGTAAAAAGTAGTTTGAATCTATTTTGAATTGAGAAAGTCCTCCTGAAAACATCTTCAGTGCAGTCAGTTCATCCAGATTACCTTCCTGCCTTCAAATGTTATTTCTGTCAGAGCAGCTCAGACCCCCGTACACTGGCGGTGCGTTGTCACTATGAATCCCATTCAACAGCAGCCTCTGGCCGGGTCGCCTCCTCGCGGTTTGCTGCTGTGGAGGCGACCAGCTAGAAGGCGTTTTTAATGTCCGTAATCCAAACTGCAGGCACTAGGATAATAAAAGCGATTATGTTTTGCCGGCAGATTTTGGCATTTTAAGTAAATTTAGGTGTTAAACTCTTTCAGGAGAGTTATAGCACTCTGCATCATCAGTGCTGCCTGTCTCGCTGCAAGCAGCTGCTCCTGTTGCTCTAGACGCGCTGCAGACAGCATGCACGTTCATGTGTTTTGAAGCCTTGGTTTCGAAGAATTCGAAAGGAGACATAGTTGTGCATCTTCAAAAATACAGCTCGCTAGAACCACTTTTCCAAGATCTCCTTCAGCACCTTTAATAGGAACAGGAAAGAAAACTGAACAGATTGATTAATGCACCTTGTGGCAAATTAAAACCGAGCAACTAATTAATCAATGATCTTTAGCATATTAATAATGTGGAAACATAGCTTAACGGCAGCATTTAACAGTGTTGCAATTGCAAGCTTTGTGCAGTCAATATGCAGCGCTCAAAGGAGCCATTCACAGGTATGCAGTACTACATTATTTTTTTCCCAAAAAAATAATGTAGTACTAGCAGGCAAAGTAAACCTGGACGGATGATTAATTATCCACGTCAAATGGTCAATGTTGATGTTTGGGATTTTTGGGTGGGAGCAGCCATTTTTAAGAATAAAACATATTTCAACTTCTTTAAAATAGATGAACTTCCATTTTTATACAGCTTATGGAGATTAGTCTCATTGGAAGCTTTGAGCAGGTGTTGGCACATTAGATGGCTTTAATATATGTGGTCTTTATATTCAACCTGACTTTAAAGGTAAATAATTCAGTTAGATTAGCAGAGTGTAGAGATCGACCTGTGTACGGTTATGCTAATTATTAGAAAAAGGGATTAACCAATCCATATTTTTTCCACTTCAAAGTTGTCAGCATATTACTAAGAGAGAGAATAGAAACATCAACAGGCATGAAAACAACTGACCCATGTAATATTAACCAATGTAGGTCCATTTAAATATTAGGGCAGAAACAGTCAAATTAATTGAGGTTTATTGATCACTGGAATAATAGTCAGCTAATTTTGTGTTTTTTATCGTATTTTAAATGTTTATATCTTTGCTATCGGGCAGGTGAATTTCCCCTATTAATAATGCACCTATCCATCTACTGGAATTCAATAAAAAAAATACTTTATTGGTTCAAAAGGGAAATTGGATGTTGCAGGAACTCAGTTTTTTTTTTTTTACACCAGCCTATTGAACAGTTCACAAATAAATGGACTTACCTGAACTATGGCAGGGTCCTGAGGCAGGGTGCTGGTGGCTTTGGGTGGCTCACAAACTGTTAGATCTTTTATATCACTTCCTCTGAAGATGATGTACTCAAACACCTCATCCCGAGGTGGTATAGGCCTGTCTGTGGGACGGTCTTCAGTGCCAAAGGAACGAACTGATTGTCAGAAAAAGAGAAGAAAAAAAGATTACTCCTACTTATTCTGTGGTTCCATTTCAATCAAAATTAATAAAAAAAATAGTTTATTGATCTCAAAAGGAAGTTTAATTCTTTACATTTAAAAGCTCATTCTAATTTGCTAGGGTTTAGTTTAAAAGTTTTAAGAATATCAACTGATAAAAAGAAAGTATTGTTTTCCCACCCCATGGAAATACTAATAAATGAATCAATCAAAATAGATGTTTATTTTGAGTAAAAATGTAATTTGGACTACATGATACATTCTTACCTTAAACAAAATAATGTTTTTAGCTTAGTTTTTTTCCTCTATGTTTTTTTTTAGATTCTCAGTGCATTTAAGAAATGTTGGTCCTTCTTACTCATCTTAACTCAACATTCTTGCAACTTACATGGCTTGAGTATGTATGTTCAAAATAATGTGATGTTTTACTGGAAAAATATAGCCGGTATCAGCTGCAGTACTGACACGTCAATATACGCCGCTTTTGTTAACATTTAATTAAACCACTGGTTGTTTCGGGGGTTTTTTGTTTTGTTTTTTTTTTACAGTGGATATCCAACACAAACCATTTGGTCCTTTAGTTAGAAATTTTCACACATTTTAATGTAAACTGAGACATAACTTAAAACAGTGCAGCTGTTTAGATACCAACTAAAAAATCATTTAAATCTCATGCAATGTAAGTGTGGTTTCCAGTATACATCCCATCAACTTAAACTTTCAGAAAAAAAGAAGGAAAAAAAGAAAAAAGAAAGAACATGGCTTTAAAATCTGTAACTTCACAACCAAAATGGACTCTTTGGACCTTTACAAATGGCTGTTAACGACTGGCTTAAAAAGCAAGAAAAAATGAAGTTTTTAAATTTAGAGCAACAAAAAGTTTAAAGCATTTTTTTCTTCATTGGTTGGTTGCATTATATGTCTACAACCAAATAAAAAAGTGCTACTGATAATTTTTATATTTTAGTTTATGTTTTTTTTTTTTTTATGTGGTTTAACTCAAATATTTGAGGGCCGGTTTCCTGTAATAATTTCTCTATATTTCCAAACAACTGCCTCCAATTTGTGCTCATTAGCGGAGCTCTGCATAGAGAGCTGCATTGTTATAGATCAGGGGTGTCAAAGTAGTTCCAGAAAGGGCCGTGTGGCTGCAGGTTTTCTTTCCAGACAAGAAATAACACACCAGACTCCTGTCATCTCATCAAGTGAGTCAAATCTTAACATAATGAGATGAATGGAGTCTGGTGTGCTATTGCTTGGTTGGAAAGAAAACCTGCAGCCACACGGCCCATCCTAGAACCACTTTGACACCAGATCAACCTGTTGCCATCCTCCTTCTGAAAAGCTTTTACATTGTTGTATTACTTTGAACCTAAAATTAGAAACCAATGGATATTTAACAAAAAAAATTATATTTTTTCTATATTCGTTACTTCGCCAAGAAGAAATTTCGTTTAAAACAGCTCTACACAATTTCATTTTTTAAAGTGCAGTCTTTTGATTCTTAAAGATAATGTAATATTTGCTATATTAATAGCCCAAAAATTGCTCCTTGGATGAAAAGCGTTGCAGACCCCCCAATCCTGATCTAGAATATTCGTTCTGTTATAGAAAAAAATAAATAAATACAACACCACCACGCCAATTTATACACGGTACAATCAATTAGTAATCGGGGTTGAAATTTCCAACAACGAATGTGGTAATAATTAAGTGTTTTCATGTAATATCGATTGAAACATTGGAGAATATGACAATGCAACATCAATATCCTGCCTATGCTATCAGCTAACGGTAGTACAAACATTATATAATTGAAGCCGGGGAAAAGTTTTAAAAACATCGACATGCTCAAGTCTTATTCTACTACTCTGTCAATGGTAGATTGAAACAGAGGGCGAATTCAGCGTAAACAAAAGAGCATCACTGCAGTTTAGCCGCTAGACGGCTAACACTACGTTAGCTAACTCTGCTAACAGCGTTAGTGACACACTGACAAAACTAAACCCACATTATGCAGAAGTAAAACTATTTCAGTGATATCCATTTTTGATGCGTCTCCTTACCTTTAGCGAGAGCGACTGTCGAGTTTTCAGTGTCGATGGTGTATAAAACTCCTTCATAGCGGATTTCGGCCTTAGAGATTAGGCTAATTTTGCTGCCAATATACGGTGTCCCTCCTCCGCTCATATTTTACACTCTAAGTTCAATAATTCACTAACTTCCAAATAAAATGCTTATAGTACAAATAAAGTCAAATGATGAGATTTCTTAAGCCGGGTTCTAAGTCTGCATAACACAAATAAATGAGCCTTTCTCCCTGAACACAGTCCTCCGTTCCGCGACTCCTAACACGACATGGCCGACTTCATTTTCTTCTGCAGCCGCTGAGGATTGTGGGAAAAAGATTGTACACTTAAAAAAAACGAACAAAACAAAAGAGGTACTCTTTCAATTTTCTATTCAACGAAGTATTCATATAAACTGCAACTGAATACTAAATATTATGTTGACAATTTTAAATCTATGGATATAATCGATTAATTCATTCTCTGAAGAAAAGAATTCGTCAATGTTATTCAAGCTGATTGTTATCTCGCGATATTACACGTCAATAGAATCCGTTGTTTTAGCGCAGTGGAACATAATTACAATGAAGTAAACTAAAATAATAATTCAAATGCATCTCAATAATATAAATATATAATATATATATAGATTTAAACACAAATACTTGCTCGTGCATGAATAAAATGTACTATAAAATGTGAATTAAAAAATAAGAGTAAAAATGTACTTATGCAGCCTGTTTTTCTTAATGGTAAGCCTGGAATGCCACGACAGGATGCGTGTGAATATAAACATATAAAAAAGAGAAATGATTAATTCTGTAGATTGCTAAAATTTGTTTGTTACAGCAAATGTACATTACAATTAAATTTGACCTCTGTGTTTAAGCCATCCTTCTGGGTGCATTGCAATCTGGGGCTAAAGGGACCTCAGGGACCCAGAGTGGTAGACTGCAGGGTTAACTCTGCAGCCTTCTCAGATGTGCTCTGCTCAGGGGCGGAGCTAGATGGGGGGCCAGAGGTGGCCATGGCCACCCTTAGCCACTCATTGGCCACGCCTGTGGCCACCCCTTTCATTTTTTCTCTCTAATACAGACTGTGGCAGCAGTAATACTCTGAAGGCGAATGTTCAAACTTATTAAACATTTACATTTTTCATATATTACCAACTTCTTGACAACAGAAACACTGTGGTTAATTATGCACATCAATATACAAACATTAAAGATGATACAGAATTCACGCTATTTTCAAAACAAAATTTTGAATTATTTGGGTTAACAATAAAATAATGTACCTCTGTGACTGAAAGAGAGGTTGAGGAAACACTCTGAAGCGGAAAACCTGATTTCAGGTTAAGAAAACTATTCAGTCTTCAGTAAACATGCATCTTTAAACGGACTCCTGGTCCAAGCGTCCAGCCACAAAGCTTAGCTTGACATGTTAATAACACCTGGTAACTGAACAAATTGTTAGTTATAATCATTTGACCAACACTCACTTTATTTCTTTCCCTTTATTAAATGACTAATCAATCATAACTTGTGGTTACAGTTAATACATTTACAGTTTAACAAGCAAAATTGCACAACAATGAATAACTAAACAATTTATATGGAGAGCTTTTTGTTGTCTTAAATCATCAGAAACAATTCTTTTTAATTAAACCATATAATTAATCACTTTTTTACCATATTTATTTATTAGAATATTTTTGCTTAGCTCATCAATCTAGAGTTGATTACGTTAATGGAAAACATCCACATCAGAAAATGCATAAAAAACTTGTTATTAAAATAGATGATAGTTTTCTTCAATCAAAGCAGGTAAACAAAACATCTACAACTATCAATACTATACTATCAAGAACAAAATGATACGAAATAGTTCAAAGCAAAATGATACTTTAGAAATCCTTAAAAAGTAGAAACATTACACATTTGAGTGTGAAACTTCTGTAATACAATAATAAGCCAAAAGCTTTTTTCCAACCTTAAGCAGGTAAAAACTGATCAGCAAGAACATAAACTTTTAACCAAATAACAGCAACAACTTTAAACTAATGTTTAACTCTTCAAATCAACAATATTCACTGTCTTAGGACTTCAGTTTAACAGCAAAGTACAGACTCCAGCCTCTAAACAGTTCTTTGGTGTTCAATAGTTTAAATATTTACCAGTTTTACAACATTGTACCTTATCTGTTCTAGTTTTCAGTTAATTAATAGAGTACCACGGTTAATGACAGGTTTATTCTTAGCAAGAAAAATACCTTTGTCATGTATTGAGGTGAGGGAGTTTGTAGATGGTGTGGTGGGAAAATTTTATTATTGTTCTTTCCTTCTTTATATATTGAAGTATGCTATGTATTCTATAAAAATGTTTTTTCTCAGCTAGTTTGTCATACTTTTCCAAGGTAACTGTTTAACCAAAGTGTCTGTTATTGTTTTGACTCTGCCTTAAAAGCAAGGGAACAACTTGTCTAAGGTTAGAACTTGGCAGACCATCATGCTGTGAATGTGAATGTCTTGTTCTCCTTTACTTTGCAAAGTAAATAAAGTGCCGACTGAGTAAATCCATCGATCTCCTTTATTTAACTGGACCAAACAGTTTAGGCCTTCTAGACCCGAATAAGCCTTTTGTTCAGGCTGTTGATGAAAAGAACGGATGCATGACTTCTGTTCTTCTCAAAGATCATGGAGGGAAGCTCAGACCTGTGGCTTACTTTTCTGCTAAGCTAGACCCCGTTGCTGGGGGTCTGCCTGGCTGCCTGAGAGCAGTGGCAGCAGCAGAGAAAGTAGTCTTAGCTTCACGTGACATTGTGGGTTATGCTGAACTCACAGTCCTGGTGCCACATTCTGTTGCTAATATTCTTTTAGAACAAAGAACTAGTCATTTGTCCGTGGCTCGTTGGCTGAGATATACTTCTGTTTTACTTGACATGCCGAATGTCACAGTGAAGAGGTGCACTGTGTTAAACCCAGCCACCCTTCTTCCTACTGAGGAGGATGGAGAAGCTCACAATTGCGTAGCTGTGCTGGACGAAGTTTGCACCCCTAGGCCTGACCTGTCTGATGTGCCTTTGGAAAATCCAGAACTGTTGCTGTTTGTTGATGGTTCTGCTTCTCGCAACC